ACATAATGGAATAAAACTTTGAATCAACAAAAACAGAAAATTCAGCCATTAACCAAACACAAGAAGAGTGAACAACATGCTGTTGAGTGAATGATGGGTCATTAAAGAAATAAAAGGCGAAATGTGAACATGTCTTGAAATGAATTAAAATGGAAACCTTTCATACCAGAACTTATAAGGTATAATCAGCACTAAGAAAGAATTTTATGGCAATAAATGTCTATATCAATTTTAAAAATATCTCAAACAACCAAAGTAAAAATACACCTCAAAAGAAAGAGTCTATCTCAAGGGTGTAGAAAAGCAAGAACAAACCAAGACCAAAATAAGTAGAAGGAAAGAAATGACAGATATCAGAGCATAAATAAAATAGAAACTGCATTGTTATACAAAAGATGGATAAAATGAAGAGTCAGTGTTTAAAAATATGACCAACAAACCTTTGGCTAGACTAACCACGACAAAAAGGAAAATCTCAAGTTGATAAAATCGGGGGTGAGAGAGGAGACATCACAACTGATCCCACGGAAATGCAAAGTATCATCAAGGACTATTATGAGCATAGAAAGCCCAACAAACTGGAAGCCTAGGGAGCACAGATAAATTTCTGTGCACACAGAACATGCCCAGACTGGCCATGAGGACCTAAGAAACATGAACAGACCAATCATTGCTAATGAGATTAAATCAGTGATGAGAAATCTCCCCCAAAACAGAAAAGCTCAGGACTTGGTGGCTTCACTGCTGAATTTTCCCCAACTTTTAAAGAAAAACTAACTCCATTTTTTCCCAAACTCTTCCAAAAAAATTTGAAGGGAGGGAACCCTTCCAAACTCATTCTATATGACCAAATATTATCCAGGTATAAAAATTAGGTAGGAACACATAACAACTAAACTAAAATCCTTGATGAACAGAGATGAAAAATTCTGAATAAAATGCTATCAAATCAAATCCTAAAGTACATCTAAGATGACTCACTATGACCCAGTGGGAATTATCCGGGAATGCAAGATGATTCTCAAATGCAAATGAATAAACATAGCACAGCCAGCAAGAGAGTGCAGAATTAAAAACATATGATCATCTCAATGGATGCAAAAAAGCACTTGAAAAAAATACAGCACCCGTTCATGATTTCAGAAAACCCTGCACAATGTAGATACAGGAGGCTTGCCTGTCAACGTAATAAAGGCTACATATCACAAACCCACACCCAACATCACACTGAGTGATGGAGAAAATTTGTGTTTCCTTCAAGATCTAGAACAAGACAAGGACGTCCACTCTCACAGCTCTGGTTCAATCTACTAATGGAAGTTCAACCAGAGAAATCAGGCAAGAAACAGAAATGAAAAACAGACTAAACAGGAAGGGAGGAGGAAGGCGAACTATCCCAGTTTGCAGATGATATGATTCTATATACAAAAAACTACAGTAGAGACTCCACCAAAAACTATTAGAAACAGAAACGAATTCAGTAAAGTTGCAGAACACAAAGCCAACATACAAAGCCAATAACACTTTTATAACCCAACAACCAGCTTGCTGAGAGAGAAATTTTGAAACCAATCCCATTCATAATAGCTGCAAAAGAAATCCTAGCAACCATCTTAACCAAGATGTGAAAGACTTTTACAGTGGAAATTATCAAATATTGACAAAAGAATTTGAAGAAGACCCACACAAAAAATGGAAAGATCTCCATGTTCATAGACTGGAAGAGTCAGGTTACTATTTGTATATTTTTTATTTACTTAAGGTGAACAAATTGCATGTATTTCAAATACACAGATTTAGGAACACAGTGATGCTCCCCCCACCCTCCCTCCTGCCACACTCCCATCCTCCCTCCTCACTCCTTTCATATTCATATTCTTTCTTTTAATTTTTGCAATGACATATTTTCAGCATATTTTATAATCATAAGCTTAACCCTCCACTAAATAAAGAATTCAACAAATACTAAGAAGAAATAAAGCAAAAACAAAAACAAAAAACACTGTTCAACAGTGGAGACAAAAGATGTAAACAATCAGTTCTCAAAATGTCAATTTTGCTCATAAATATTACATTTCTTTTACTCTATTAGTTGGCACAGATCAGGGAAAACTTATGATAATTGCCTTTTTGGGACTGGATTATTTCACTAAATATAATGGTTTCCAGTTGTATCCATTTGGTGCAAAAGATAGGATTTCAGTCATTTTTATGGCTGAATAGCACTCCAGAGTGTATGTATACAACATTTGCGTTATACAGTCAACAGCTGATGGACATCTGGGTAGATTCCGTATCTTAACTATTGTGAATTGAGCTGCTGTGAACAGGGCGTACAGATAACTCTTTTGTATGTTGATTTCACTTCTCTTCAGTAAATTCCAGAAGTGGGATTGCTGGGTCATAAGGTAGATCTATTTTCAGATTTCTGAGGAAAACCTCCATACTGTTTCCCAAAGAGTTTGTTTTAGTTGACATTCCAGCCAGCACTGTATTAGGGTACCTTTTCCCCAACATCTTCAGGAGAAATTGTTATTTTTTTATTTTTGCAATGCTGGTCTTTCTAATAGGAGTGAGATGAAACCTCACTGTGGTTTTTCGTGGCATCTCATTGGTGGCTAGTCATCTTGATCATTTTTTCGTGTGTATTTTAGTCATTCGAATTTCATCTTTTGAAAATGTCTGTTCATGTCCTTTGCCCATTTTTAACTGGATGGTTTTTGCTTCGGTTGTTTTTGTTGTTGCTGAGTTTCTTGAGCTCTCTACAGGTTCTGGATATTAATCCTGTGTCAGTTGCAAATTTGAAATATTTTTCCCATCCTGTTGGTTGCCTCTTCATTTTGCCGCATACTGCCTTTGCAATGCAGAATCTTCTTGGCTTGATGTAATCACATTTTTCTATTTTTATTGTGATTGCCTGTGCTTCTGAGGTCTTTTCCAAGAAGTCTTTGCCTATGCCAATGTGTGGCAGAGTTTCTCCAATGTTTTCCTCTAGTAATTTCATGGTATCAGGTCGTATATTTAGGTCCATGTTGAGTTGATTTTTGTATAAGATTTAAGGTAAGGGTCTTGTTTCATACTTCTGATCATGGAGATCCAATTTTCCCAGCACCATTTGTTGAAGAGACTTTCCTTTCTCCAGGAATTGATTTCAAGTCATTTCTCAAAGATGAGTTGGTTGTAGAGGTGTCGATTAATTTCTGGGGCTTCTATTCTGCTCCATTGGCCTACATGTCTATGTTTGTGTCAGTCTCTCTCTCTTTCTCTCTCTCTCTCTCTCTCTCTCTCTCTTTCTCCACCTCTCCTTTCTCTGTGTAACTCTGACTTTCAAATAAAAAAAATAAATCTTTAAAAAGAAGAAGAAATATCCCTGCATGCCAAAGATAAATCCAACTTAGTCTGAGTGAATGATCTCTCTGATGTGTTGTTGGATTCGATTGGCTAGTATTTTGTTGAGGATTTTTGCACCAATGTTTATCAGGGATATTGGTCTACAGTTGTCTACATTTCTTCTGCCTTCCTCGGGTCTTGGAATTAAGGTGATGCTGGCATCACAGTAGTTTGAGAGGGTTCCCTCATTTTCAATTGTTCTGAATAGTTTAAGAAGAATTAGAATCAGTTCCTCTTTAAAAACATGATAGAATTCAACAGTGAAGCCATCCAGCCCTGGGCTATTCTTGGTTGGGAGGGTCTCTTACTGATTTAATCTCCTTCTTGGTTATTGGTCTGTTTAAGTTTTCAGTGTCTTTGTGTCTCAACTGTGTGACTGTATGTGTCCGGGAATCTATCCATTTCTTCTAGATTTTCCAAGTTGTTGGCATACAGCTGTTCATAGTAATAATTATGATTGTTTTTATTTCTGTGGTGTCTGTTGTTGCATCTCCTTTTTTATCCCTGATTTTATTGATTGAGTCAATGGTGTATCAATTTTGTTTAATTTTTCAAAAAAGCAGCTCTTTGTTTCATTGATCTTTTGGTGTTTTTTGCTTTAGTTTTGTTTATTTCTTCTCTTTAATTATTTCTTTCTTCTCTTGTTTTTCTAGGTCCTTGAGTTGCATCAGTAGCTCCATTATTTGAAGCCTTTCCAATTTCTTGATGTAGGCACCAATTGCTATAAACTTCCCTCTTAACACTGCTTTTGCATATCCCAAAAGTTTTTATATGTTGTGTTGTCATCTGCATTCACTTTTAGAATGTTCTGATTTCTTCCTTGACACACTATTCATTCAGGAGCATGGTCTGTCTTGATGTGTTTGCATATTTTCTAGAGATTTGTAAGTTGTTAAATTCCAGCCTCATTCCATTGTGGTCAGAAAAGATACAAGGCACGATTTCAATTTTTTTTATTTGCTGAGACTTGCTTTATGGCCTAGGATATGGTCTGTCCTAGATAAAGTTCCACGTTCAGCTGACGAATTTGTAAATTCAACTGTGGGATGTGGATATCAGTTAGTCCGTTGGCTCCACAGCGTAGATTAGCTCTGCTGTTTCTTTGTTGGTTTCCTGTCTATTGATCTGTCCAAGGATGAAGGAGGGGTGTTGAAGTCCTTCAGTGCTATTGTGTTAGTGTCTATGTCTCCTTTTAGCTCCTTTAACATTTGTTTTAAATAGCCAAGAGCCCTGGCATTGGGTACATATACAGTTATTATAGTCACATCTTCCAGTGAATTAATCCCTTAATCATTACGTAACATCCTTCTTTGTCTCTTTCAACAGTCTATTTGTCTGATATTAGGATGGCCACACCTGCTCGTTTTTACTTTCTGTTGGAGCAGAATCCCTTTTTCCACTCTTTCTCTTTCAGTCTGTGGGTATCTTTGTTGTTGAAGCGTGTTTCTTGCAGTCAGCAAATAGATGGGTCTTGTGCTGTAATCCATTCAGCCAGTCTGTGTCTCTTTATTGGAGAATTTGGACCATTTACATTCAAGGTTATTATTGATAAGTAACAATTTGATCCTACCATTTTTCCATAAGTAATCCTACTGTTTGCTTTGAATTTCCTTTGTACCTTTACTAGGAGATATTCTGCCTTTGCAGTCTTTCATGACCATGACTATCATTCTCTATTTCTGTGTGTAGCACATCCTTGAGAATAATTTGTAAGCCTGGATAAGTGGTGACAAATTCTTTCATTTCTGTTTGTTTTGGAACGTCTTTATTGCACCTTCATTTATAAACGAGAGCCTTGTGGGGTACAGTCTTCTGGGTTAACAGTTTCTTTCCTTTAGAATTTGAACTATGGCTCTCCATTCTCTCCTAGCCTGCAGCGCTGGCCCCCAGAATTAGCATTATTAAAACGTCCATCCTGGGGCCAGCACATAGTGGGTAAAGCTGTTGCCTGCAGTGCTGGCATTCCATATGGGTGCTGGTTCTAGTCCTGGCTGCTCCACTTCAAATCCAGCTCTCTGCTATGGCCTGGGAAAGCAGTAGAAGATGGTCCAAATCCTTGGGCCCCTGCACCCATGTGACAGACCCAAAAAGAAGCTCCTGGCTTCAGATCAGCTTAGCTCCAGCCCTTGTGGCCAATGGTGGAGTGAACCATCGGATGGGAGACTTCTGTGTGTGTGTGTGTGTGTGTATAACTCTGACTTTCAAATAAATAAATAAACCTTTTTAAAAAAGTCCACTCTACCCACAGAAATTTACAAATTCAATCTAATCCCCATCAAAGTACCAATGGCATTCTTCCCAAACCTAGAAAACACATCTTAGCATTCATGTGGAATCAAGAAAGATGGTTAAAAGGCAAAAAAAATTTTTTTGAACATAAAAAACAAAATTCAGGCATCCTGTTACCTGATTTCAAAACATACTACAGAGTTATAGAAACCAAACAGCATGACACTGGCATGAAACTGGACTACAGATGTTGGAATCAGAATAGAGTTTCCAGAAATAAGTTCGGGCATCAACAGTCACTTGCTACTTGACAAAGACATAGAAACCTCCATCAGAGAAAGGACAGGCTCTTGGTCGAATGGCGAAGGAAAGACTGGAATCCTCAGGTGACTGAACTTGATCCTGCGCACACATCCGTCTCTCGTACAAAAACCAGTTCACAATGGGTCAGCTACCCAAGCATAAGACCTGAAATTCTAAACTTCCAGGGCAAAACAAGATAGATACTTCAAGCCATCAGATAACCAATGATATTTCGGATAAGACCACAAAAACAGAAATCGACAAATGGGATTGTATCTAACTAAGAAGCTTTGGTACAGCAAAGAAACAATGAAGGGTGGACAGAATGGGAGAGAACGTTTGCAACTCTTCGTCTGACGAAGTGTTAACCTGCTGAATGCATAAGAAACTGGGGAGAGGGGGACTCCTGAGTACAGGCCAGCCACAAACCACATACACTCAACACTGTCACGAATTCCTTTACAAAGCACCTGAGAATCAAGTCAGAGTTGCTGTGGAGGATTAACCCACTGCACTACAGCGCAGAATTAGCATTAAAATATCCCTCCTGGGGCCAGCGCTGGGGCCTGGAAAACTGTTGAGAGGGGAATTTAGACTTCAGCCGCCTTGCTGTTTTGTCATCATATTCAGAGATATTCCAGGATGCTATCTGCCACAAGTTCTCCTCCCAATAACAGAACCACCTGGAATCTGCCAAGGGTTCTAGTTCAAGGTCTTCAGCAAAGATGACTTCAGCCACTGGTCCAGAAAGCTGCGTGGCCATGGAGATCCGTGTGGTCGCCTCTGTCCAGTCTGTGCATGGCCGCAGCGCCGCAGCCCCAGGGTCCTTGGCTGGGAGCAGGAGAGGAGCAGGCGAGGGCACAAATCCGAGAAAGCGGGTTCTCGGGAGATCCAGCCAGGAGCACTAAGGAGGCCTGAGCGTCCAGGAGAAACTCCGTCACGCACACCAGGCACGCTCTGTTGCAGAACAAAACCGAGCAAACTGGCCCGAACCCTGCTTTCCACATCACCCTGAGAAAATCATTGAACCTGCTTGAGACTGTTTCTGCCTCGGTCGGGGGGGGCATTGTCGCAGCTCGTCCCTCACTGCCTTGAGGCTCAGCAGCACCCGCACCCGAGGATTCCGCCCCGTCACAGGCCCAGCCTCCAGGACAGGGGTCCCTGCCCCTGCACCAGCAACTGCTCTGTTTCTAATGAAGAGTCCAGGGAAGGCAAAGGCCAGCTCCAGGGTGGCGCTGTTTAAGATCCTGCCCCGCAGCCAGCGTCGCGGCTCACTAAGCTAATCCTCCGCCTTGCAGCGCCGGCACACCGGGTTCTAGTCCCGGTCGGGGCGCCGGATTCTGTCCCGGTTGCCCCTCTTCCAGGCCAGCTCTCTGCTGTGGCCCGGGAAGGCAGTGGAGGATGGCCCAAGTCCTTGGGCCCTGCACCCCATGGGAGACCAGGAGAAGCTCCTGGCTCCTGCCATCGGATCAGCGCAGTGCGCCGGCCGCGGCGGCCATTGGAAGGTGAACCAACGGCAAAGGAAGACCTTTCTCTCTGTCTCTCTCTCTCACTCTCCACTCTGCCTGTCAAAAAAAAAACAATCCTGCCCCGTTCCTGTTCTCAGGCGTAGAGACCCTTCCAAAGACACCACTACTTCTGCTGCTCTCATTGCTGCCTCCTACGTCTTCCCTCCCTTCAACCTGGCTTCCACCCGTGTTATGCCACTGGCTCTGTTATTGCCACCATCACTTTGGTTACGTTTCTGTCCCTATCTACTGAGAGAGACCCTCGCAGGTGACTCCCGCAGGGACCACCTTCCTCCTAGGCTCCTGCCAGGGCACTCCCGCTGGGTCCCCTTCTGTCTGGGTGCTGCCTCCTCCATCCTCTCCCTGGGTTTCTCCTCCCCTCCCTGTCCCTTTCCAGCCCACAACTCCCTCCACACTGCAACCCTGACTATCCAGCTGCCAGCCCAGCCAGCTCAACCCCAGCGCGTCCCCAAGGAAACTGAAACGTGCCCCCCGCACCAGCCTCCCTTACTCCATCCCACCATTCACCCAGGGGCTCAGACAGAAACCAGACACGGTGTGCAAGCCCTCCTTCTCTGAACGGTCACACCAAACTCCAGGCAAACCCAGCCGCTCGACTTGCACACAACCTGCCAAGATCCACCCTGAGCTGCCTGCCGCTGCTCCAACGTGGTCTTCCACGGAGACAAACAGCGGCACCCAGCAACATTCTGCACGCAAGTGTCCCTCAGCCTCACCCATCTCCTTTCCGCTTAGGGAGACCGTCCGTGGTTTCCTAAACTCTTCGTCACTTCGACCCCGCATGTCCCCCGGGCCCTTCGTCTCTCTCCAACCTCATCGCGACTCAGTCCGTCTCTCTCCCACCCACCCGCAAGGCATTCCGCCACGTCCTAGGCCGTGCTTAACTGGAGGGCCCTTTGCGAGTGCTGGCTGCCCTGCCTGGAATCTTCCTTCTAGACTGCTCGTCTTCGTAGCCCTCCGTGGGCTCTGTGTCTCAACAAAACTCCATAGGAAGGCTTTCCGTCCCCTTCTCAGCACCAGTGTGGGAACCCTCGGCCCTACAGCAGGCTCTTTGGGCTGAGCGCACACTGTCTTATTTCTCAGTGTGGGAGCACGTGGCACAACGCCTGCTAAATAGTAGCACTTAATAAGTAGAATAATTGCTAATAAACCCTCCACTGCATACTTCATGTATGGAAAATTAAACGGTATGGTTAGGCAAATGCAATTAAACAGCGAGATTGGAAAATGCTCTGCAACTGCAAAGTAAACTCCATCAGTCTTTTACCTGCTGAGCATATAGGAAGGGCCTGAAATTCACAGAAAGTGATGACTATGAAAAAAATGCATGGGTTTAAAAGTTATTTGCCCCAAAGTAAACTCATACTAGCTTGTTGTAACACGTCCGGGCAGGATCTAATCCAAGACACCCGGGAGGAGGAAGCATTGGTCTGGAAGAAGCCCCGGAGTCAGAGAACGTGAGTGTGGCGAGACCTGGAGAAATGCAAGCACCAGGTTTCCCGTGCAGCGTGCGTGGGAGGACGCCGACACCTCCAGGGCTCTACAGAGGCTGTGGGGACGGCGCAGGCGCAGACGCCGCCCTCTCAGGGAGGGGTGAGACGATGCTGGAGGTGGAGTTGAAGACGAAGCCTGCCACGGGAGACCACCCCTTCAGCTTGACCTTGCCCAGCGGGTTAGGGCAGCACCACAGACCTCCGGGTGCGTGTGGATGGCTGTCTGCTCCAGGAGTGCCAAACCCACACACCCGAGCCGGGCCCACACGAGCCGGGCTTCCCACGGGAGTTTGCAGGAGGGGGTCGGGATCCCGAAGCTTTGTCTGTGGAACGGTGACAGGAGACGAAACGCGGCTTTGCCAGGATGCTCCTGAAGACAAAGCAGTCGGAGCCGCCCAGAGTGGAGAGTGGACCAGCACAGGGGAAAGTGGACCGGTTGGGAGCCAAGGTCATGGCCACGGTTTCTGCAGATGCAAGGCCAGAGAACAGCATCAGGAGCGTTGGAGGGAAGTCAGCCAGGCTGAGGAACACAGGGAGCACCAACAGGGAGTCCACGCTCCTGCCCATGCCTCTCAGCAAACACAAAGTGGGGGAGGCAGCACTTGGAAGAATTCTAACCCACCCTACAGTCCCGACGCACCAGTGCACAAAAGGCGCAGTGAGGGGTTAGGTCCCGGACTCTCAGCCCTCGAGAGGCGGTGAACGGCCGGCATCGTGTCTTCTGCGGGGGGCTCACGCTGGAAAGCAATCGTTATCTTTCCGTCTCAGTTCTGCGTGCACACGCTGGAGCCCTCTGGTATGCTGGTGAGTGTTCACACACAAGCTGTTCCCTGATAGCCCAGCACGTGGAGGCGCAGAGGCTTGGCCCAGCAGTTCATACAGCCCCTGGACACACGCACCCCACGTGCAGAGCCTGGGTTTGCAGCCCAGCCTTGCTCCCAACGCACCCTGGGAGGCAGCAGGCGATGGCTCGAGTGCTGGGCCCCTGCCACCCACATGGGAGACTCAGACGGTGCTCCCGCCTCCTGGCTTTGGCCTGGGCGAGGGAACCAGCAGACGGAAGAAATCTCTCTGTCTCCGTGTGTGTGCATGTCTCTCTGCCTCCCAAATAAATGAAAACAGTGATTTTTCCAAGTAGGAATTGCAAGGCGGGCACTGCAGTGCCACAGGCAAAGCCACTGCTTAGCACACCCGTACGGGAGGCTGGCTCAACGCCCACCTCCTCTCCTGACCCAGTTTCCTGCGACAGAGTACCCCGGGAGGCAGAAGTACTGGGCCACTGCCCATCCCGGGGAGACCAGGGAGGGGTTCCTGGTTCCCGGCTTCAGCCTGGCCCATCCTCAGCTGTTGCCGGCATTTCAGAAATGAACCAGCGGAAGTATGATTTCTCTCCGTCTCACACCTGCCTTTAAAATAAATAAAAAGGAAGCTTTTTAAAAAGTAACTAAAATATAAAATAATTTTTGAAAGCCCTGGAGTTTTATTTCTTGCCGTTCTCACGGAATGGGAGCAGCCAACGTGCCCTGTCTTCCTCGGCTTTCGTACGCGACCTCGTTCTGGAAAACAGGTAACGTTACCGAAATGGGAAAATAGGGCTTCCCCGTCCCGCTTTGTCACGTGAAATAGTAGGAAAGCTCGGGCGAGTGAACGCTTGTGCGGATCCCCCTTCTGCGGCGAGCGGGGGCGCCCCCTGGCGGCCGCAGCGTGCGTCTGCGCGGCCACGCTGCCAGTCCGAGTTGCAAGAATCACCTTAGTTAGAGGAAGGAGCCCGCCTCTCCCTGCGCACAGCGACCGCCGGCAGCATTAAGCGCTAGACCAACAATGTTTTCTTTGCTGAGAGACTCGCCGATCGCCAAATAGTTGCCCAGCAGAGACGAGCAAAGCGACAGACAGATCCCAGCACTGGGGGTGAGTGCCCTAGGGAGAACGGTGGACCTCAGCAGGGGAGATGTGGGAGCCGTGTAGGACGCAGGCCTGGGAGGGCAGCACAGGGCGAGGCAGCCACTGCGACCCCGACCCGCGGCCCGGGAGACCGTTGCAGGGGGCCGGGCACAGAGGAGAGCCCACTCACCAGACGCCAGCATCCCCTGGCTACGGGAGGATCCACGTCAGCCCAGATGAGGAGCGCACACCGAGACCTGGAGAACACAGAAGGAGCTCGCGTGGTCTGCGCAGCCCTGAGCACAGGCTGTGGCCAGATGCGGCCATGCAGAGGAAGTTCTTAGAAGCCCCTGCCCACCCCTGTGCCTAGAGCCCCACAGATTCCACCCAAAAAATGGCTGTGGCCTCATGAACCGAAGGAGACCCACAGCAGGTGGGTCAGCACTGCAGGGGAATCCTGCACCCAGGACCCCAGACCTGGAGCCCATCCCCCAGTCCCACGCCAACATAGACACAGCTCCTGGAGGTGGACCCTGAAGGCCACACTGGGACTGGACACACGTGGTCCCAGCGCTCTGCCAGACCGTGTGGGGACTACACAGGGCATTGAACTGGGGCCACAGCCGGAGAAGCCGACCAGGCTGATGCAGGAAGAGGCCGGCCCCATGAGGGCTGCGCTGGCACAGCAGCGGCGGCAGCTGACCCACCGGGGTGCAGACATCCAAACAGGGACGTGCAAGTCCCCGTGGCCCGTCGTGCCCCAAAGCAGCACAGCGTCCAGCAGCAAACTCCAGAGGAAAGGAATCGAAAGAGCGCTGGTGAGGGAGCTCGGTGAGGTAGCAGAGGGTGCACGGGGCAACGCACGGGACCGGGACAGCGAGGCCTGGCTCAGCGGGGGCGCTCGCCGAGGAGGCAGAGATGTTGAAAGAGAGAACTCACAAGTCAGATGCAGTGTGGAGCTAAGCCAGCGGCAGACTGGGCTAAGTGGGCGGGAGAGCGGACACGGGAGCTGGAACACAGGTCCTGTGAAGCGTCCCAGTCAGACGCAAAAGAGGCACTAAACAGGCAGGAAGGAGGGCAGTCATAGAGAGTCTATGCAATGAGAGAGCAGCTCAAAGCGTCCGCAGTCTCGGGGGTCAGACGGACGTGTAGACACGGGAGGCCCACAGACCCCGGCAGCCACGACCGGAAAAGATCCTCACTGCGACGCTGCACCAGTACTCCAAGGAGCAGCACAAAGAGAATCCCAGAACCTCAGGGGAAGGCGTCGGGCACACTTACGGGGTCCCCGTTAGACTGGCGGCAGAGTGCTAGGCAGAGGCCTCCAGGCGAGGGCTGCTGAGTCCCGAGTTCTCAGCAAATACACCACACTCAGCAGTGCTGCCTTTCACAAGAGAGAGGGAGAGGAGATTCATGTTTTATTTGACAGGTAGAGCTATAGACAGTGAGAGAGAGACAGAGAGAAAAGTCTTCCTTCCATGGGTTCACTCCCCCAATGGCCGCAACGGCCGGCGCTGTGCCGATCTGAAGCCAGGAGCCACGTGCTTCCTCCTGGTCTCCCATGGGGTGCAGGGCCCAAGGACCTGAGCCATCCCCCACTGCCCTCCCGGGCCACAGCAGAGAGCTGGACTGGAAGAGGAGCAACCGGGACAAGAACCGGTGCCCATATGGGATGCCGGCACTGCAGGTGGAGGATTAACCAAGTGAGCCATGGCGCCGGCCCCGGGAAATGAAGACTTATGAAGACAAGGGGACACTGAAAGAATTCATCAGCACCAGACCGCCCTTAAAAGATGCTCCCCCCTGCACCCGCACCCGCACCCAGCAGCAAAGGGAAGATAATTCCCATTGCTGAGAACAGGTGCAGGTGCAGTGCCCACCAGAAGAGATGGCGCACAGGAGGCACGGCTGAGACGCAGGCATCCTCTGTGTTGTGGACCACAGGCCACAAAGGCACCCAGAAGGGAAGGAGGAAACCGCGGGGCACGTGTGTGTGGAGGAGCACTGTTCAGCCACGCACAAGAACGGAATCCTGGCTTCTGCAGCAACACGGATGAAACTGGGGGGCAGACTGAGACACGGAGAGGCAGACGCTGCGTGGTCTCCCTCCCAGGTGAGCGCCCACCATCAGAGCAGGTGACAGACTCCACCCAAAGCCCATGGAACCAACGGCGTTCTGCACAGAACTAGAACACACAACCCTGAGATCCACATGGAGGCGCAAAAGACCCCCCAACCAGCAAAACAGTCTCGAACAGAAAGAGCAAAGCTGCAGACCCCGTGGCACCTGATTGTGAGACCCTCCACAGGGCCACAGTAATGAAAACAGCATGGGACGGGCATAACAGCGGTCCAGGGCTGAAGAAGGGACCCCAGCAATGGGTCTGTGCATCTACAGCCAGGTGATTCTCACCAAAAGTGAGAGAGAGAGAGAGAGAGAGTGAGGGATAGAGACAGGGATAGAGAGAGAGAGAGAGAGAGAGAGAGAGAGAGAGAGAGAGAGAGAAATCTTCCAGCTGCCTTTTCACCCCTCAAATGCCCACAACAGCTGAGACTGGGCCAGGCTGAAGCCAGGAACCAGAAACCCCACGCAGGCCCCGTCTCCCAGGCCCAGCAGCAGGAAGGACTCTGACCGGAGCTCTGAGCTGGGTGCAGGCATCTCGGGCAGCAGCTTACTTGCCACACCACAGCGCACCCCTAAGGACAGCAGTTTAAATTAATGGAGCTGGGGGAACTGGACACCCACATGCAGAAGACTGAACCTTGACAGCCACACACCGCCTTTGCCTCTCACTCTGTGAAGATCAGCTCAAAGCAGGCGAGACACCACCTGTGAGACTTGGAATATGAAACTACTGTAAGGAGAGAGAAGGGGCCAGCACTTGGCATAGCGGATAAAGCTGCTGCCTGCAGTGCCAGCGTCCCATATGGGCTCTGGTTTGAGTCCCGGCTGCTCCATTTCTGATCCAGCTCTCTGCTATGGCCTGGGAAAGCAGTAAAGATGGCCCAAGTCCTTGGGCCCTTGCACCTGTGTGGGAGACCCGGAGGAAGCTCCTGGCTCCTGGCTTCGGATCGGAGCAGCTCCAGCTGTTGCAGCCATCTGAGGAGTGAACCAGCGGATGGAAGACCTCTCTCTCTCTCTCTACCTCTCCTTCTCTCTCTGTGTAACTCTAACTTTCAAATAAGTAAATAAATCTATAACAAAAAAAAGAAAGAGAAGAGAGGCCCTCCAAGCCACTCTCAGAGACGATGCTTTTCTTGGAAAAGACCCCAAAAGCACAGACAACAAAAGCAAAAACAAGACAAATGAGATGCTATCAAACTAAGAGTCTTCTACAGGGTGAAGGAAACCACCAGCAAAGCAAGAGACAGCCTATGGCATGGGAGAGAGAATCTGCAAACCATTCACCCCACACAGGGTTAATACTCAGACTACATAAAGAACTCAAAAAGTGCAACAGCAAAAAGAAAGAAAGAAAGAAAGAAAGAAAGAAAGAAAGAAAGAAAGAAAGAAAGAAAGAAAGAAAGAAAGAAAGAAAGAAAGAAAGAAAGAAAGAGAAAGAAAGAAAGAAAGAAAGAAAGAAAGAAAGAAAGAAAGAAAGAAAGAAAGAAAGAAAGAAAGAAAGAAAGAAAGAAAGAAAGAAATCCAATTTAAAAATGAGCCAATGATATCAATAGGCACTTCTCAAAAGAAGAAGCTGGCCTGGCCAACATATTTATGAAAAAATGCTCAGTACCGCTAACCATCATGGAAACACAAATAAAAACCACAGTCAGGGTCATCTCACGCCATTAGCGTGGTTATTAGCCAAGACACAAGATAACAAGTGTGGGTGGGGGTGGGAGCCCTGAGACATGATGGCGGTCTGTAAACCAGCGCAGTGGGGAACGGCACAAGGATCCTCACAAAACTAGGACTTGGTCTGCCGTATGGTCCTCCTACGTCACGTCTGGGTGTGCACGCAAAGGAGACAAAACCAGCCTTTCAAACAGACACCTGCACCCCCAGGGCCATCGCAGCACCGCTCACAACAGTTGGGACATGGAACCGACCTCCTTCGTGGACGGGAGGATGGAGGGAATGTGGGCCACACGCACAGTGCAGCACTGTCCATCCCTGACAGAGTGAAATCCTAGCCTTGCAGCACCGTGGATAGACCCGGAGGGCATCGTGTTAAGTGAGATAAACCAGACACAGAAAGACAAAAGCCACACGTTCTGTGCCCCGTGTGCCGACCTGAATGTGACTAGTGGTTACTCAGGATCTCGGGAAGGCAGGGGGCGGAGAAGGAGGCTGGCAGACAGAGCAGGCGGTGTGTGGCGTCCACAGCACAGTGCACGGTTGGCGTTCAGAATACACCATCGTTTTTCTATGAACAAATTCAAGAGAGGAGCTCAGGGACTCCAAAGTAAAAAGGAGAATCACCGTGATTTGGTCTGCAATCTTTGTACATGGATTGAAATGTGGCAGCAAACCGTGAGGAGGTACAGCTGCCACGTGGTGTTCCGTGTAGGCACTGATAAAGGCTTAGATGGAGCAATACATATAACACTCGTGGCGGCTTTAAAATGAGTGCTTTATCATGGAAGTAGACACAGAATCAAAAACTTGGACCTTAATGAATTTAAGAAGCTTGCAATATCCAAGGATATGCCATCTTAGGATGACTTGACGAGTACACATTGTATACATGAGTTGGACTATCACGCTATACCCCACAAATATGTACAAGTAGAATGAAAATAATTCTTAGAAAATAAACCAGAAAACAAAAATGAGGGTTAGCAAGCGTGTAGAGAAATTAGAACACTTTTATACACTGGGTGGGACGAGAAAATGTGTAACCACTAAGGAAAACGCCACGGAAGTCTCTCAGAAAGTTAAAATGGGCGCCGCGTTATCCGCCAGCCCCGGCTGTGGCTGTGCCTCCAAAAATGAAAGCAGGATCTCAAGGTTGGCACTGTGGCTCCTGCAGCACCGGCGTCCCGCACGGTACCAGTTCAAGTCCTGGCTGCCCCACTTCTGATCCAGCTCCCTGCCAATGGCCTGGGAAAGCAGTGGAAGATGGGCCAAGTCTTTGGGCCCCTGCACCCACATGGGAGACCCAGAAGAAGCTCCTGGCTCCTGGCTTCGGATCAGCGCAGCTCCAAAGTGAACCAGTGGGGAGTGAACCAGCAGATGGAAGACATCTCTCTCTCTCTCTCTCTCTCTCTCTCTCTCTCTCACACTCTCTCGATCTTCTCGCTTTCTGTGTATCTCTTGCAAAAAACTAAGTCAATGTATAAAAAGAATTCTCAGACCCAGGAATTAGAGAGATGTGGCTGTGGAGTTTGTGTTGCGGGCACGGCGTGTGTACTTAGTGGGTAGAGGTCTCAGAATGGACAGAGAAAGTTCTGGAGGATGTCAGGCAGCGAGTGAACGCGCCGAGCAGGCCGACTGCACACGCAGAACAGGTGAAACGGGAAATCGTGTGTCGCATGGCTTCATCGCAGTAAGCGGGGAGTGGGGGGGAAGGTGTTGTGCGTACTGCCTGACCCACGGGGAGAACAACGCGGCTCAGACGGTTCCCATAGGCCTGCTGGTTGCAAGGCAGGGCCCAGCCCGGTGAGAAGCCACTGGCCTGCACCCCAGTGAGGGCCCGTGGCCTGGAAGCCCGTGGCAGTCCCGGGGCCGGAGCCATCTGCTTCCCGCTGGGCAGTCCAGGCGTCCCCACCGCACTCCCCTCCTGGAGCCCCTCTGGGTGCCCCTGACTCGGTCCCAGGAGACTCCCTGCACACGGCAGCAGGGAGGGGCAGGAGCAAGAAGAGGCCCCAGCCCACCCGACTTCCAGTTTCCCAAGGGCCGAGCCCGCCCTGGGGCAGCCCTCACGTGCTGGCCCTGCCACACCGCGGAGGACAGGGACCTGCCCGCTGCGCCCAGCTGAGGACCACCCACAGCCCCTGTCACGGGTTAGCAGTTGAAAGTACAGAATCGAGCCGACAGGACAAACAGGTGTGTGCCAAGATTCCAGCCTTGGCATGATTTAAAATCATGGGAAGCTGGAGATGAGCTCATGTCCACCCACACAGGACTGGCTACGCACGCGAGGGACCCAACTCTGTGTTCAATGGAAATGGCCCATCCGCGGGCAAAGTGCTCGCGGACAGCCCTGGCACAGCAGGCAGAGTGCTCACGGGCAGCCCTGGCACTGTGGGCAGAGCTGCCCACATGCACGGCAGGTGCCATCCCCACCCCTGGGGTCTGCGCTTGGCGCTGAAGGACTCTGGGGAGGAAGTGGATGGAAGTCCTACAGAGGATTACGGGCTTGGGAGAGATCTGATTTCTTCTCTTTAATTTTCTGCTTGGCTTGATACCAGCGATTTTCTGCGTGGCTCCACGGTACCAAGGGCATGTGCTACTGCAAACTCTCCGGATGATGAGCATGTTTAGGATAACTCGGAGATTGGGATGATTTCTGATTTTCACGCCCCCTCCAACCCAGCGGCCCACGGTAATCTGCTGAAGCCTGGGGAACAGTGAGAGCAGCCAGGGGCGGTAGTTGGGGGCAGCAGTGGGGGCCCGGGGTCAGGGTTCACTGTCCAGCCCCGTGAGTGCTGAGTGCCCCGGGCGGGGGCATGCTTCACTGTCCAGCTCCGTGAGTGCCCCTGGTGGGGCAGGGTTCACTGTCCAGCTCTGTGAGTGCCCCTGGTGGGGCAGGGTTCACTGTCCAGCCCTGTGAGTGCTCCTGGTGGGGCAGGGTTCACTGTCCAGCCCTGTGAGTGCCCCTGGTGAGGCAGGGTTCACTGTCCAGCCCTGTGAGTGCCCCTGGTGGGGCAGCGTTTACTGTCCAGCTCCGTGAGTGCCGAGTGCCCCGGTGGGGCCCACTCCCGCTGTCCTGGGCACTCCGCCCTACACTGCTATCCCAGCTAAAAGGTGATGCTTCTCTGAGCCATTCTTTGGCCAATACCGGCCTCCCCACCTGACGGACAGCCTCATGAGCACCTGCACTGCTGTAGCTTTTCACGGGTTTTTTTTTTTTTTTTTTTGCTCCTGATTTTATCCTTGTCATCTCCTTTCTTTCCTTTAACCCTGAAATTTCTTTTCTCCAGGTATCAGCCAAGTTCCTTCTTCTGCTACAGCACCCATCCCAATTCACCAACTCTGGCTTGGGTGGGTGGGTGGGTAGGTGGATTTGAGGAAGGTAGGATGGATGGAGGGATGGGTGGATGGGTGGATGGATGGGTGGATG